TTGTTATATTGATTGTTGTTTCCGTCGAAATGTATGTGTAGATTATACAAAGTATATCAAATAAACTAGACAAATTTAAAATAAAGTTCTGGATGGGGTATGCAGTCAATAATAAATGAGTTTCCCTATTTAGAAAATGACAAGAAAAGAGATTGTTCAATACTCTAATTGGATAGTAGCTCTAAAACTGATGAATTAATTCACAAATTTCATTACTCTCACGGTATATAAAAGAAAACCAAAATTTTGCTTATACCAAATTTCAAAAAATATTCTGTAGAAATAGGATAAAGCAGTAAAAATGTACTTAAAACTATTAGATTTTGTATTAGTACACTGTTTGGTAAAAATGTGGTAGACCAGATGGCTAAGAAATGTAATATGAAGTCGAAAATTTGTACATGGCAACGTTAGGAATATTTTAGAATTTTGATCCTAGCTAATGATAAATTCGTAAATTGTTTATAGAGAGTCGACCTGCAAAAACATTTTTAGGCACGAATTTTAGTTTTAGTCATCATTTCAACTCGATGATACATCTTCTCAAGAAAATCTCAAGAAAATCTAGTTTTTATCAACACTGTTATCAACAAAAATTTCGTAAAGGCTACAAAACAACAAATATATTTACTTGACTATATTAAATAAATTCAATACAGTGATGATGCATATTCTCAAGAAAATCTGAAGAAAATCTGGTTTTTATCAACACTGTCCATTAGTACTTTTGAAATAAAATTTCGTAAAGGCTAGGAAACAACAAATATATTTACTTGACTGTATTAAATAAATTCAATACAGTCTAAAATAATTGGTAAATAATGGGCGAATGCCGAATAAATTATATTGTGAACAATAAATCATATGACATTCTATATAAATATTTAATATAGTTTGTTTTTTCTTATAAATTCATTTAGAAATTATATAAAAATAAATGTATATGAAAATATATATATATATATATATATATATAACTTTATATATATAGATAACTTTACAATTGTAGGTTAATTTGACTGCGCTCGGTGGGTATATGTATACATGAATTGTCGGTAGCTTTAGTGTTGAAATAGACTAGAATATATTATAGTAATAACATATATACTAGAATACTAATATAATAAAATAAAGTACATTCGTCAAATAAAGTTAACTGCTTAAATAAAAAAACAAAAAAAATACCATGAAAACGAAATTTATATAATAATTCGTAAAAGACAAATAATTCAGAACAAATTAATTCACAGGCTTCGATAGAAAATTAAAATAAATCGAAAAATCGCACCAAAATAAAGTAAGTTAATAATTATCATACCAAAATTTTTCCAAAAATAATTTTATTACACTGTTTATAAACAAGCTTGATACGCTTTTCTCTAATGCATCCTGAAATATCAATCACAATTGAAGTTTTTTAACTTCCCGAAGGAGAAGTTTATGTTTTCATCAAAAAATCCGAATTGCTAATTTTATGTTTTCTCGACGTTTCAAGCCATTCTGAATCGAATGAGACCAAATTTGGAAAAAGTATGTGTGTGTGTGTGTGTGTGTGTGTGTATGTGTGTGTGTGTGCGTGTATGTGAACAGATTTTTTGCCGTAAATCGACGTTTTCTCGAAAACGGCTGGGTCGATTTCAAAAATTTAAAAGCCATTCGATGTATCTCGAAGAGAACTATTGTTTGTCAGTTTTGTGCGACGATCGGCCAAGCCGTTTCTTTATAAATGGCAGAAAAGTGAAAAATTTTTCGTCCACGTTTTAGCCCACAATTCTGAATCGATTTTGAAAATTCAAAAACCGTTCGAAAGATATTGGTTGGGAATCGTGCTGATTAGTTTTTAGTAGAGATCGGCCGGGCCGTTTTCTTGTAATAAAGTTTTTAAAAAAAAAGTTTTGACGATTTTTATGATTATTTTTTTGACGATAGATACCATAGTCTTCTAGATCATACTAAAATATTGCGGCCCTACGACAACTGGTTCAGCTTTAAAAATTCGTCAAAGTTTGCAAAAATCAGTATGGTCTTTTTGGCATTTGTCAACATTAGACTTTTGATCGACGTTTTCTCAAAAACGCCTGAACCGATTTTAGAAATTTAAAAGCCATTTGATGTATTTCGGTGAGGACTATCGTTTGTCAGTTTTGTGCAACGATCTGCCAAGCCGTTTCTTTGTAATTTGAAAAAAAAGTGTTGAACTTTTCGTCCACATTTAAGCTCATCCTACCGAACCGATTTTAAAAAATCAAAAACTGTTCGAAAGATATTAGTTGGGAATGATGCTGATTAATTTTAGGTGAAAATCTACCGAGCCGTTTTCTTGTAATTAACTGTTGAAAAAAAGTGTTAAATTTTCGTCCACATTTAAGCTCATTCTACCGAACCGATTTTAAAAAATCAAAAACTGTTTGAAAGATATCATTTGGGAATGATGCTGATTAATTTTAGGTGAAAATCTACCGAGCCGTTTTCTTGTAATTAAATGTTGAAAAAAAGTGTTAAATTTTCGTCCACATTTAAGCTTATCCTACCGAACCGATTTTGAAAAATCAAAAACTGTTCGAAAGATATCATTTGGGAATGATGCTGATTAATTTTAGGTGAAAATCTACCGAGCCGTTTTCTTGTAATTAACTGTTGAAAAAAAGTGTTAAATTTTCGTCCACATTTAAGCTCATCCTACCGAACCGATTTTGAAAAATCGAAAACTGTTCGAAAGATATCATTTGGGAATGATGCTGATTAATTTTAGGTGAAAATCTACCGAGCCGTTTTCTTGTAATTAACTGTTGAAAAAAAGTGTTAAATTATCGTTCACATTTAAGCTTATCCTACCGAACCGATTTTGAAAAATCAAAAACTGTTCGAAAGATATCATTAGGGAATGATGCTGATTAATTTTAGGTGAAAATCTACCGAGCCGTTTTCTTGTAATTAAATGTTGAAAAAAAGTGTTAAATTTTCGTCCACATTTAAGCTTATCCTATCGAACCGATTTTGAAAAATCAAAAACTGTTCGAAAGATATCATTTGGGAATGATGCTGATTAATTTTAGGTGAAAATCTACCGAGCCGTTTTCTTGTAATTAAATGTTGAAAAAAAGTGTTAAATTTTCGTCCACATTTAAGCTCATCTTACCGAAACGATTTTGAAAAATCAAAAACTGTTCGAAAGATATCATTTGGGAATGATGCTGATTAATTTTAGGTGAAAATCTACCGAGCCGTTTTCTTGTAATTAACTGTTAAAAAAAAATTTAAGCCTTTTTTCATGGAACTTTTTTTGGCGATATACATCATGGTCTTATAGAACTTACTGTAATATTACGGCCTTACAACAAGTAGTTTAATTTTAAAAATTCGTAACTTTGCTAAAATTATTATCGTTTTTTTTAAAGTAGGATTGATGAAGTATATTATTTACACTTTTTTTTTGATTAAGTCGATTATTTACACATATCGGGAAGTTCATGTAATTTGCCTCAAGGCTAAATACCAAACCAACTAGTTTCATTTCAACCAGCAGTGGTGTATTTGTTTGAATAAACTGGCGAGCAAAATGAATTCTCAAATATTAGTCAATTACCCTTTTTACTGACATAAACGAATCGATGGAATTTTATATCAAAATTATTTGAAAGAAATTTCAATTTAAAATTATTTTAAACAAAATTCAATTTATATTCTCGTACTATTGTTGGTTGCGTTTGTTTCAATCAACAAGCCAAATCAATTTCAAAGATCGCCGAGCTTGCAATCAATTTGAAACCGACGGTGATAATTTGCGGCGATGCGTTGGCAGAATAGTTTAGTTTCTGGTCGGAACCGTATATTTCTACCCTGTTAATGGACACTCAAATTAGTGCGGTGAGGAAAACCAAACTTGCAATGGCATTGAATTTGTATTCGAAGTGTAGGCACGGATACACTGGTATTTCGGACAGTATAAAAATTTAATAAATTTCGATTACATTTTTTTGTGGATTATAGATTTTTTTCAATAATAGTTTCATTATATCTTTTAAGTTTGCTGTTTTATGGCGAAATAGCTCAGTCGGTAGCATACGCAACTCACACGCCAAAGATATTCGGTACGAGTCTCTGTGCTGCATATGAATTGTCTAAGTAATTTAATTTGAATTAGAATAAAATTAGAAAAATAATAGAAAAGATTGGCAACGAAAAAGATGAGATTTAGAAGAATTTAAAAAAAAATAGAATTACAATTTAGAAATTGTCAATATAATTCACACAGTGATAGTAAGGCAACCGTTTGAGCTACCATCTATGGAACCGACCGTATTAAGTCAAATTATCACAACGCTTACAGCAGTCTTAGGTTCTGATTGGCAGTTTAAAATACAAAAATATTTGTTTTCTACGTCAAACATAAGCAATAGTGATATCAATTATCATATAGATTAGACATATGTTTTGAAGTGCTAATCGCCCTGCAGACAGTAAACCAAAAATTCAAAACTAAAAAAGACATGGACTTACTTATCTTTTAATAATAGCCATGTTTGAAGATAAAAAAAAGATTATTGTAATTCGTCGAAAAGTTAAAAAATGTACGTATTGTTATTGTTTGCATAAATTTGTAACTGTTTCAGCATTAGTAGGTACTATGCAAAGAACAAAGAATTCGTATTTACCGTGAATTTGTATTATACTATGCGGTGTCCCCCGACATCTAGCCATAATTCAAAATAAACAAAAGTGATCTTAGTAATCACAATCATCTTTTGTTTATACGTCAATAAAAATATTGTTTGTTCTCAAGTTAACGTGTTCGTATTTTCTAATCAAATTTAATCATCATCAAAGTTAAATAACAAATATATCTTAGAACTTATTTTGAAATCTTATAAATAATTATTTCAAAATGATACAAATTGCCTATTATTAAAAATTCAATTTCTGTATTTTGTGTCAGTAAACTACTGACCTTAGATCAAGAATACTTCTGTGTTTTTCCCAATATATAAAAATATTTTACCATGGGTATTGACTATTACGGAGTTTTTTCTTTGAACCGAACATGTACTCTGCTGGATATCAAGAAGAAATACCGGCAGTTAGCATTGGCATTACATCCTCTGAAAAAACCAAATCCCCCTGGACAACCTGCGCCTATCATTGCTCCGCCGACTGTTACTTGGGAATTAATCGGTGAGGCGTATGAAGTGCTGAGCGATCCCTTAAGAAGAGAAATATTTGACCAATTTGGTCAAGAAGGTTTACAACAAGGTGTCCCGACTCCAGACGGGTTTGTACCACCATATGTGTATCACGGTGATGCAATGAAAACATATCAAGATTTTTTTGGCTCCACATCACCTTACGTAAATATACTAGACGCATTTGATGATCCACAAACATCACATATCCTTCCAATCTGTCGCGGATTGAAAGCTAAAGATCCACCAATTATTCAACCATTGTTACTAACCCTTAGCGAGGTTTTCCATGGTGGAATAAAAAAGATGAAAATTCAACGAAAAGTTTTCATTGATGAACATCAAGCTGTAACGAGGGTGAAGGAAAAGATATTGGATATTCCCATCAAGAGAGGAATTTTGCCTGGAACCAGAATAACATTTGAAAAAGAAGGTGATCAGGGACCTACAAATGAAGCAGCTGACATAATATTTGTAATAACGGATCGACCCCACGAAGTGTTTTCGCGAATCGGCGCGCATTTAGTTATGGATGTTAAAGTTGGTCTTAAAGATGCTTTATGCGGTACCAGCGTTACAGTGCACACCTTAGACAGAAGAATCATTCGAATTCCTATAACTACCATCATAAATCCCGCATATGAAAAAATTGTAGTCGGAGAAGGAATGCCTCGAATAGAAGATCCAAAACTAAAAGGAGATTTAATTATTAAATTTAGTGTAACATTTCCTACATATTTACCGAAAGCAAGTAAACAACTAATTGCTAAAGCTTTCCACACTGCGGAACAAGATGGAGGAAAATTGACTTCAGACAATATAAACAGATTAATATTAACAGATAAAATGAACCGCATTGCTCTTAAAGATAGATTACCTAAATTTTAAGTTATGTGAATTAAATCTTATGTAGCTATATATACTATTCAGCTATAATTGACGTGTCTTGACGTGTTTATTTTCCAAAGATATATCAAACCAAGTGTAACTTTGCGTGTTTTTTTAACTGAATATTTACATCAAGTTGTTGAGAATATGTTGAGGCTTTGGCTATATAAATTAAGTAGATGAAAGTTGCATTTTATCTCAAGACAAGTTGCATGAACTGGCCGAAATGTGTAAATAATGAACGTAATCAATAAGAATTAAGAATAGCCAAACAAATATATATTTTTTACTATTCATTTTCAAAAAGGTTTGGCTATTGATTGAAATCTATTCTAACTTTCTTACAATTACATGTACAATCTTTCAATGAACTTATTCCGCTTTTAGTTCAATATATATGTAATACATACTTATGTTACCAAAGAAGTAAAATGAAGTAATTTTTATTTTGTCAAATAAACTCATATTTTCCGTTCGATATCTTAACAGCGCATCTTGCTTTGTGATTGACAGTTATTCTCGTCATAGACTCTATTCGGAGGACACAAAACTGTGCCTACTGTTCGTTGGAAGCGCCATAGTTAACAGGTAATGTGGATGCAATCTTCTACCAATATCTAAATTAGAATTTTACCTATACCTTGCACAAATGTTGCTAGAAAATACAAAATAGCTAAAACACACGCCAACTCCAACCATGAATATTTGACCGAACAGACGACTGTTCCAAAACAGAGAATAAGTGATCTAGAATATTTAAGTTTTCGATACTCGTAAATACATCAATATACAAAAGCACTAGCGCAAACTTGCTCTGGGACTCATAAAATGCATTCTTCTTGCAGTTTGTAGGGAGACTTTGAGATAATATACTTGGTATTCACTTTGTAGTTGCAAGGGATATATTATTTATGGCACTTATTACTATCATAGTTTCAATACTCTATGCAATCGATTTTCAAGTACAGTACTTATAAATTGATATAAAATATTTTCTAACTTTAATACTTATTTTTGAAATCGAAACGTGAATGTTATTGATTGTGATTTATTATTATTGATTATGGATTGAGAAAATTATCAGAAAAAGGTAAACTATACTTACCGAAATTATCAAGTTTTTTATGTTAGCTATAAATATATGGCGCTAGTATGAATGTTGGTATGAATATATGTATATATACGATTGGACAGTAGTAGTAAATATAAGGCTTATATATAGAGAGAAGAAGAGTGTGATTAAAGTTCGAAATATTTAACAGACCTTCGAATTATTGATATTGTACTTCAAAGATTTATGAAAATTACAATAAAAAAACTCACATAATAGTTACCAAAAAAATTATTTTAGTTATGACATAATCATGTCAAATAAATATGAGCCTTATGTTTTCTATTTGATCACATAAATGAATTTAAAAAAGTTCACAAATAAAAAAAAAATTAAACTAGTGGTGTGTATGGCATCGTGCCTTAAGGCAAATCGCTGGAACTTCCCGTACCGTAACAAAATATGTTCGAGATATATTAAATGTTTTCAAATAGATTATTATAAATAAATACTTTAACATTGTCTAATATTTACAAGAATTATATAAACTGAATTGCAAAGTTAAAAATATTTGTTTAAAGTATATTAGAACTTAAGTCAGAATTGCAATTAAAATCTGAATTAATTTCAGATTAAATTAAAATTAAATTTAAATTCTTTGAAAAAAAAATTGAAACAGAAAATTATTTTTTATATCCAAAAACAATTATTTTGTTAAAACAAGCAAAAAGTTCTATGAATTATTCAAATTGGACGCTTAGTTAACTAAAAAACTGCCATTTTTTTACATTTAGCTCTGTATCTCCGAAACCGCTGGACTTGCCCTTTCCAAAAACAAATCACCCCTCCTACCCATCATTACGAATTGAATGTTTTTTGGATCATTCAAATCGGATGCTCCGATCTCTCAAAAACTCGATTTCTATTTTCTGCACTCTTTGCTCCGTATCTCCGAAACGGCTGGACCTGCCTTTGCCAAAAGCTAATCAGCACATCTCCATATCAATAGGAATCGAATGTTTTTTAAATCATTCAAATCGGTTGATCCGTGCTCCCGAAAACCTGGACAAAAAATTGTGTCCATACATACATACACACAAACACACACACATTCATTTTTTCTGAGGTATGCCAAAATGTTCAGAACTCTTCAAAACGCGAAGAAATGTAAAAATTTTCAATTTCGATTTTTGGACGATTAACCCTACGGAAAGTTAAAAAAAACGTTATTAATTTAAAAATTGATAAAACGTTTTTTCATATTGAGTACTATCTAGTAAGTGTTAAATTCAAAAGGATCGTTTTCAATTATTGTGATTTCAATTACAGTAGTTACTATTAAATTAATATTGCATATTAAACTAAATAACTTCGGATGAGTTCGTTCTTCTTTACATTGTATTAAATATTTGCCTATATTGTAACTTTCATATATATTTGATAACAATTTAGTTCGGTATTTCAATAAGGGAGTTCATAGAACATAATGAAACTTTGCTTGCACACGAGCATGACGAATAAATGAATTGACGTGAAATGTCGAGTATGGAAGATTCAACTCACAAGTCAGGAGAAGTATATGCATAAAACATCGAATACTTGTTATACAGTTCAATGCAGTTTAGACTTTGCAAGATATAAAATATATATGTTGAAATTGAACAAAAGTATTGTCAAATATAATACATAGTTGATCTTCCTATAACGCAGTAAATGCGTATCATATGAGATGATACCAGTCTAATTTGTAGCGCGTTTTATGAAAATCAGCTATGGCGTTATACAGAAATCGTGCTATAATTAACTCAAAATTGGTACAAATCCAAGCATTTAAACCAAGTCAATGTTATATTCAATATTATTGATTGTTAATAGAAAACCTAATAAACATAAAAGACCAAATAACTATTGAAGTAAAAAGCTCTTATAAAAAATGATAAAAAAATATAAATTATTTTTCATTGAATTGAAGAGTGTATAACAGAATATAGTAAAAAAAATAGAACAAAATCTGAATAAACTAGCTGTGTATGGTATCGTGCCTTAAGGCAAATTGCTGGAACTTCCCGTACCGTAACGAAATGTTCAAGAAATATTAAATGTTTTCATATAGATTATTATAAATTCTGTAACATTGTCTAATATTTATAAGAGTTATATAAACTAAATTACAAAGTTAAAATTATTTAAGTATATAAGTGAGCTTTAGAACTTTAGCCGGAATTAAAATTAAGATCTGAATTATTTTGAATATACAAAAAAAAAATTTTTAAAAAATTTAAATATTTTTTTTCCACAAGCAATTATTTTGTCAAAACAAGCAGGAATTTTTTTGAATCATTGAAATCTGATGGATAGTTCGCTCAAAAACTGCAATCTTTTGCACATTTAGCTCGGTATCTCCGAAACGGCTAGACCTGCCTTCGCCAAAATCTAATCACATCTTCCATTCATTACGAATTGCATGTTTTTAGATCATTCAAATCGGATGCTCCGTTCTCTCAAAAATTCAATTTCTATTTCTTGCACTCTTTGTTCTGTATCTCCAAAACATCTGCCTTTGCCAAAAACTAATCAGCATATCTCCCTATCAACATGAATCGAATGTTTTTTGAGGTATTCAAATCGGTTGATCCGTGCGTCCGGTTTCATGGACGAAAAATTGTATTCATTCATACACAAACACATTCATTTTTTCTGAGGTATGCCAAAATGTTCAGAAACCTTCAAAACGTGAACAAATGTATAAAAATTCACTTTAGATTTTTGAACGATTACAATAACTTACCCTACGGGAAGTTAATAAAAACTTCAAACATTTTAAACAATCTTTTTAAGAAAGACTAACTAAGCAAAAGATCTTTCACAAATGACACTACTAAAACAGATGACGAACACTGTTATGATACCAACTGTGTATGTTTATATAAAATATATATAAATATTTTCGAAAACAAAATCGACAATAATAATTCTTAAATTAAAACTTTTCACGATGCCTTTTGTCTAGAGTCATTATCAGTTGGGCGAATGAAATTTACGGGCAATTGAACGACAACCGCCCTATAAGGGTACCTTATAGTATGTTAGTACAAAAATATTGTTCTCAGAGTACATACTTGCAGGAGTAGATTTTGTCTTTGTGTAACATGCGAATATATGTAAGCAACGCCATTCTCTTTTTCATTTTAACCATTTAGATTAAAAACTAAGAACTTAAACTTGAATGTAAGAATGAATTCTACCAAAACTAAAGTCTAATTGTTGAATATTTCTGCAAACATTTAACCATTCAATAATCACTAACATTTTCAAAACGAGTACTCTATAGCATTGCAAATAATTACTGAGTAAAACGTTATTAAATATTTTTATTGAAAATTTGTAACGAAATGTAGTTTTCACGGTAAAAAAATATAGAAATACTTCTGTCATGAAAACTAATATTAAATCTACATGAAATCATTTTTCATTAACTTTCGGAGCAATACTCTCGGAACTGGGTTAATGTGATTCTACAAATAATGCAATTTATTTTATGGTTTTTCATTTTTTCAATTAATGAATTAAAAAAAGTTCACAAGTTTTAACTAAAAAAATTAAAAAGAACACTTTTCAATTTAAAAATTGATAAAATAATTGAGTAGTAGGTAGTAAATTCAAAAGGATCGTTTCAATTAATGTGTTATTGGAGATAATGGTTAATGTGATTCCAAAAGTAATACAATTTATTTTATGGTTTTTCATTTTTTAATTAGCAGCAAATGTTGCACTGTGGTTTTAGCGACAGGAGATCCAAATCAGGAATCCTTTTAAACTTTGACTTATAATACTTATTTAATTCTGGAAAAATTAATGAAAAATTAAATAAGAAAGTAAATGTTTAATAAAAAAAATACTAATTATTACATTCAATCCGTTTTGTCATTTAAGAATTTTTCTAAATCTA